AGTAATGCTGAGATTAATAACTGATCATCATATTGATTTATCAGTCTACTCAGGCTTTAGCAGAGCTCAGTAATGCTGAGATTAATAACTGATCATCACATTGATTTATTAATCTACTCAGGCTTTAGCAGAGCTCAGTAATACTGAGATTAATAACTGATCATCACATTGATTTATTAATCTACTCAGGCTTTAGCAGGAACTTAGGTGTCTGTGATTGTGATTTTAAAATAGTTAAACAAGCATTGATGGTGTTTCTTTTAAAGATGGTTTATACATTTTTTTAGTGGCTAAGCATGCAAGTGGTTTCTTCTAAAAATGTTAAAAGTAACTATATTCTGAATACTGCCTTTACAAAATGATACTGATACTTAATTTCTGAATTCTGATTGCATATTCCCAATACTTGTATTCTGTTACATCCCAACCCTGAGCATAAATCTTTCCTCAGGACAAGTAATATTACAAATCTGAAAATGCTGCGCTAATTACTACATCATAGCTTGTGCTTATTTACACTTGTGGCGTGCCAAAGAACACTCAGTCTTGGTGAGTGATCCTGCTGAAGACATCTTGAGGAATCATAGCTTTGGCTGAAATTCTCCCATGCAGACATCCCTCTGAGGAGCTGTCAAAACGAACAGAAAAACATGTCACCCAGCAGTCACCACAATGCTCAGCTGCTTTGCCAAATAGGTTTTAGAAGGTTTTGTTTTCAAGGAGACAGACTAAGTCTAGCCTAGGGCCAAATTGCATCAGTAATGGGATTCTTTTTTTTTTTTTTTTTTTATTAAAGCCCCTGACTAGCCTTAGTCTGTGTCCGGAACATTGGACATTAGTGACCAATGGAGGCTTTTAAACAGGCCAATCGGTTGTATGTCTCACCAACAGCAGGCAGCCTAAACACAGCAGCATGTCCCTGTCCAACCATACAGCTCTCCGTGAGGATCTGTGGCTGGCAGACATAGTGTCTGTGGTCACAGTAAATGGGGGTGTGATTGATAGATGGTGGCTTGCCCGCTCTGTCTGGGGCATAACAGAGGCAACGGAGCTGGGAAAGTACAGATGTGGTGAGAAGAGGGCATACCAGGACACCCTCCATCACCAAACACGCACTCTCCCTTTTTCTCTCGGAAATAATAGAACTCGATCCTTCCTTGGACTCACCTGCCATCCTGCTGTGCCTGTTGTAGTAGAACATTGGTGGGGAAATCCACCATACATGGAGCCAAGGACAATTCACATTAGGACTGTGTGCAGCTGTACAGTGTTCAGTACTGAAACAGTGAAGTTTGGATAAAAGCATAATAAATTAAGTGCGCTAGTTTTACCTGATTCAGGATGCGTTAAGAAATGTGACTAACATTGAATGAAAGTCATTTCCATAATGACATTTGGCTGCTATTCACTTTCATTCATTGATAATGTATTTTTTTGTTTTCTTCACAAAGATATTGGTTGTTGCCCTTTCTTATACATTAATGTATTAGTGGTGAACTATGACTATTAGAGCTAGGCCTTCAGTTCAGGCCATAAAAGTCAAAACCCGTTTAAAAATGAGAAACTACACCTTTACAACAATGATAATTTCTGCTAATCCCTATGGGATTCTAGCATTATGTTAGCTCTAAGCTAACAGTGAAGCACATGAATGCTTTTTGTCTGTTCTAGATTAAAGACAAGCCTGTTCAAAAGACATTTCATGTTTTATTTGAAGCTTATAACAGACATCAACATATATTTTACCCTGTATCTAACAGTTCTACAGTCGTACTATTTTCCATTTCTAACATCTGATAGAAACCTATTAGTCAGGCCACCACCCTTGGCTGTATCCACAGTCAGTGATGTATCCAGAACTTCCAGCAGGCCTAGAGTGACGTTTTGCCTTGTGTCTTTGGTCCCACCCATTGTTAATTGAAACATTTGATTGATTTCACTTCCTAATTAAGTTGGAAGTGAATCTAACGTTCAGGAGCCAAACTGAAGGCCTAACCAATGGGATATCTCACCTGGCTGTATGTACTTAGATACCACAGAGAGAAAAAAATATATAATTGAACAAATTTCTGATGGGCGTTTCAAGAATTAAACCCATTATATAACAATGAAATAAAGTGTTACTGCACTACTTGCAGATTTGAAACACAAATATGATTCTATTGAATAAAAATGAATTGCAGTTGACAGATATTTATACTTGGTTCCCAGAAATCATTAGGCATTCTCCGAAGGCCCAGAAGACCCTGAGGGTTCCCCACTGTCCAATGAGCCAAGCAAATTACGCAGTTAATAGGTACACGGGGAGTCTCTGTAGTCTTCTGAAATCGTTATGGTGTTTCATCATCAATAAAGAGGAATGAGACTTTTCCAACAGCTGCTTCACATTTAATCACATTTTAACCTTCCATCAGTTTGGTGAAGGTTTATCATCTGTACATGAATCTTAAAAGTCAAATCAATTCATGCATTTGTGTACTTCTGAACTTACAATCTTGGTAATGATGTGGTGAAATTCACTATGTGAAATTTTTATGGTTGTTCTTTTTTTTACATTTGAAAATGTCAGTTGCTGTGTACATTATGTGAACATTTGATGATGTGTGAGCCAATAGAAAAGGGCCCAAAAAGACTTGGACTAAAGTCTTGTTACACTAACATATCTTAAAGGTAAGAATGTTTTTCCTTCTCCTATGAAGTCACCATTTCTGAGATATGAGGTTTAATTATGAAAATAAGTTGGTGCAGTAGTGTAAACCTTCCTAATTTTGCTTCTAAAGTTTTGTATTAATGGTAAACTGAACTTATACAGTGGAGAAAGTTGGTTATTTCAGGGAAACGTTTAAAATAAAAAAAAGACTTTTCTTGCTGTTTTAAAATGAAAGTGTTTGATGTAATATGAAAACATTGTTAAAGTTTCAGAACACACCTCATTTACATATATGAGTCTGTTTAATCATACAAGATAAAGAAAGTTTGGAAAATGAGGATGTAAAAATGAACCAGGATTGTTCTTGACACATTAATGCACATAAATGTCCTAAGTGGACCTCAGGGGAAAAAATGCTAGAATAACACACAAGTCAGAGTTATAGTTGGTGGTTATCAAAGTACAATATGCCAAGAACATCCATATTCTGTACAGCTGTACAACACAACACATGGATCATTCTTCTGAACTGGTTTAAATTCACAGTTTGAAACACATGTTAAAGTTGTAACTGATGTGGATTTTAGACTAAAATCCTTTTGCTTTGAGTACCTTATGTTTATTTTATTAAAATAAATTGTCACTAACAAACAAACATAACACTACCGAAACTTTACCAAATGTTTCAGCGTCAATTTTAGCTCATTTTGGTCATAACTCAAAAACGTTAGCTGGTACACGACTAGCAAACAGTTTATACACATAAAGTCATAATATTTTTATTAAAACACAAACATGTGTACTTAATGGCAGAAAATGTGTTTCAGCGGTGACAATTCTTGTTACACACTGTTATACAAACAATGGGATCTCACTGCTCAACATGTGGCCATGAGGGACAGGGATGCCTTGTCACTTCCTGATCTAGGATGCAGAGGTGTGGCTGAAATAAGGCTCTGCCTATGGATGAAAGCTGTGTTTCGGTAGTGACATGAAAATGTGGGACAGTATTTTTTTTAAAAATAGAGTTAAGGGTTGTGACAGCCACCTCCTATAGAAACTACATGTTAGTAGCTTTTTAACGATCTCTATAATACTTTGGGTTTAAATAGACAATGATATAACATTTAAGGCCTGAATGCTTAATTGTTTTTGTCTGTGGGACTACAGTTTGAACTAATTTGGTAGAATGGTCCATATACATAGAGAAGAAGTCAACATGTATCTATATATCCAGAAGTATATAAAAAAATACTAAACATATAAAAATATGCATGAGTGCAGGGACATATATATAAAACTTGAGTGGCTATTGTAAGGCAAGGAATGAGGACTCAATAATTAAACTGCAGAGTTATTGTAACAATTATGCTTCCAAACAAGGCCAGGTTTTGACTTGGGCCATTCAAGGCTGTATAATCTATATCCTCTATCTCTAAAATCACATTAGCTGAGTAGTATGACTGCACCCCCCTCACTCCTCTGGGGACGATATGGGACTCCATATTGATTCAGGTCAAGTATAGTGTGTATCCTACTTAGAGGAGCAATGTTACATCCCCAATGTTCTCAAACCCAATTAGAGTGGAGATGAATTCAAGATGCTAGACGTGGCCTATGGAAACCCATAAACACTCAGAGAGATGCGCTTGCATGCATCTGTGTTGTGTGCTGATGGACTGAATTTAATCTAATTGATATTTGTATTGTATGAGCAGTGAGAAATTCCACTCCAGAAGACTTACATCAGAGGGTTGATGTAAGATAAGCTTGCAGGACAATTAATGCTGTACATTATGTTCTTTGCTGAAGGAGAATCCATGACTTACAAACGGATTTACATGCTTTTGGTTCAATGTTTCACAGTATGTCCTTGACACAAAGACAAATTAAGGCTTAATGTCTTGTAGACTTTGTGCTTCCAATGTGAAACACCTTCATTGCTCTAATGAATTCAGTCATTTTCATAGGCTATTGAAAAACAATTAAAAGTGCATTTGGACCTAAAATTAGCTAAATTTCATGTTTTTATTTTGGCTAGAGCTCCCCTTTAATGTAATTGTAGATATAAATACTTTTATTTTTATATAATTAATATAATAAATAAATATAATTATAAATTATATAATAAATAAAATTGTAGATATAAGTACTTTTTATACTACTCAGAACATACTGACCTCTCAATATATTCAGTTTCTTTCTATACTTTTTCCCCCAGCAGAAGTGCTAGAAATCATGCAAGCATGCAGTATGAATAGTTACTCTGGTGACTGTATACCAGCTGTTTTTCATGTAGTTAACCTGACTGCATAAAGACCAGCAACAGACAGAAGACAATACAGCAGAATAAAGTAGAGACATAATATAATCTTTATTTGATGTTTACCAATATTAAATTTTCCTTTTAAAAGTCCTTTGGTTGTTGTTTTAACAGTCCTTGAGTAACTCTAGGACATTCTCCAGTTCACCCAGATAGGATGTGCTTGATGAATGAAACATAGTTGATGCAGCCATTGACGTCCTCTTGTCCCATCATGAGGCGGTCAACCTCGTCTTCGGTCATTCTCTCCCCCAGAGTGGCCAGAACATGGCGGAGTTCAGCTCCCATCACCGTGCCATTGCCTTCCTTGTCAAAGACCCTCAGGCCTTCCACAAAGTCCTCGAAGGTGCCCTGATCCTTAGCCCTGGAGATGTGCTGCAGCATGGGCAGGAAGGTCTCGAAGTCCAGCATCTTGCTGTTCATTTCCTCTGCCTTGGGCTTCCCCAGCACCACATGGACATCAGCGTTGGTGGGGTTGTAGCCCAAAGCCCTCATCACATCTCCACACTGAGCATACCTGATCTTCATCTCGCCCGTTGGTGTCTCATCGAATAAGGTGAAGGCATCCCTGAACTCCTCAATCTGGTCCGGACTGAACTCCAACACAATGCTCTTCAGGTCCAGCTGAGGCTGTTTGGGCTCCTCCGGGACAGGAGCAGGAGCTGGTGCTGGAGCCTCCTCTTTCTTAGGCTCTGGTTTCTTGGGCTCCGGTTTCTTGGGTTCGACTTTTTTCGGGGCCATGGCGTTCACACTAAGCAGCCACCAAATGGAAGATGGGAGTGAAGAGCAAGTTGTCTGAGCCAGCCGTGCACTTTTATACTTCCATTCCAGGGTGTGAGATAAGCTTTATCAGAACCACAGCACTGGCAGACTATAAATGGAAGTGAATAGAAATAGACTGGAGTGACACTCGTGCTATACTGGAATACTTCGGTCCAGTGATACTTATCCCATAGTACAAATAAGGAATCATAGTATAGAATAATTAGACGTAGGTTCCAGAAACTTTAAAATGGTTCTTTACTCTCACACATCTTATGTAAAAAATGGCTCTTTAAAGAACCAGCAATTAAAAGGTTCTTCAGGGAACCCAAAATCCTTCTTATACAGCATGGCCCAAAGTGTGGCTTGTGAGCCAAAGCTGGCCCATGAGGATATTTACATATAGCCCACCAGAAAGTTGCCCTAACCCCACTCCCTCACCCAATGAAAGAACAAACATATTATACTATATCCAACTTTCCATTCCATCTATTCTTACTTTCCTTTTAAAACTGTATTTTTGAATATTGTAATAAAATGTGTACTGTTATAAAATACATAACCCTCCTACTTTATTTGTAAATTGTTCTGGCCCATAGTCCACCACAATCACTGCACTTTAATCTCCCAAGACAAAATTCTGGGCACCCCTTTTCTTCGGCATCGCTCCAAATAATGCTTTTATTTTTATGATTGTATCAATCTTGTAAAAAGACACACTAAATGTCTGTGTAATGTAATTATGTATCAAAGTTATTTCGGTCATTTTAAATATTAAATCCTCCTCACTGTATGTCATTATGCGCCAAAGAAAACAGTGATGAGGCCAAAATGAGTAATTATTCTTGGAGGCCTACTATACTCCCCCCAGACTGCTGACAAAAGGAGGAGCTATGAGGCATTTGGAGATAAGCAGAGAATGGAGAAGGTAATTGTCCAGGGAGCTGAGGAGTGGAGTGGTGGGCTTTACATCAGAAGAAACCATCATCCTATGAAGCTGTCATTGTGCTGCTATGATGCTTTATAACTTCCTATTCACCTAAAGGAATATTCCAGCATTTTAACCTAATCTCCATCTGCCAAATCTGTAGTATACCAGCATTTCTAACATATAGACTATACTTGAACCCCACTCCCCAAAGTATATTCCATTCCATTTTAACAATGCCCAATTACCAATTTGTTCCATCTGAACAAATTCCAAAGAGAACAAATGTCATATTGCTGTGAATATAAGGGCACACAGTGTCATTAATGCAAAGCATTGCTACTTTTCGCTGTTGTTATTTCCATAAATCTTCACTTTAGCCAAGTACATGAGGTGCTTTACACCTAAAAACAAAAAACCTTGGAAGGTTTAACATATTGTTGATGCCTTATTTGACTATTCAAATGAGTAAACAAATGCTATAATGTGTTCAGATATTCATATATTCAAATAACCTTTCCCAATCCACCACAGTGCTCCCCCCAGGTTTGTCTCAGACCTGTGGGAAACACTGGTATATGGTCCATTACCAGGAACAATAGTTTCCCTGTACAGAACAGAAAGGCTGACCCAAACTGAATCAGAACACATACTGTTCCATTGGTTTCCATTATAAGAACGTTTCAGGTCAATATTATTTCTGTTTTTTACTAAGTACAGGAAAACACACTGAATATACTGTCTGTGGTAATAACCATAAATTAATCTACAGCAGATGAAGCTTAGCTTGAAAATGCTGGAGTATTCCCTCTACAATCCTTCAGCCTAGAAATAAAAAAATATTTAATTAATAAATAAACAAAATGTAGAAGGCCTCATAAGAATAAGTGCACAGAAAGTTGGCTTCAAAAAGTTTACTGTATATTTTCTTTACAACATTTTCTATACAGTACATTGACATAGTGTAAGCATATAAATAGTGAAATAACCACACTCATATAAAAACAAAGTATTTTTGGCAGTAGGCGTGAAGTTTGATTGAAGTTTGAGGAAGTTGGCCAGCGGTGTCATTTGCACCAGTTAGCCAGCAGACAGGCCACAGTGATAAGACAGCGATAAGGAGGATACTATTCTGAGATGCAGGCACATTCCACTGCTCATTGAGACACCAATGATGGAGTGCTCTCAGGGCACTTAGAACAAATGAAGCATGCCAAAACTCATTTAAGGTGAACAATGATATCTACACCAAGCAGGAGTAAGCTGTGTGATGTAATTTGCAGCCTGATTTTAGGGGGATGTTTTGTTTTGTCTCATTTACAGCTTGCACGGCTTTGATTCTGAGATTTGGGTAATCTTCCTAAGACTCTCTGAATATCCTGAGGAAAACTTCTTATGCCACTAGCGATAAGCAAGAACTGAAATTACGCACATTCATACAGAGTGTAGGAATTTTCTGCAAAGTGAAAGGCTGCTCTCTAGTGGTGCACTTTAGGAAATGCATGAAGCATTATTTTTTTAAGGCTGGCGTGAGTTTTTGGGCATTTCAAGCAATCTGCACAGTTCTAGGTACATGGAATACAATGTAAATATGATATTCCAATCATTAACCAACTATTTTTCAAGTCGTGCCCACAACCTATATTTTTCTTGTATTCTGTTTTTTCCCTTAGAGGTCTAGTAGCAATGTAGCAAAACCAGTCATAATTCATTTTTTTCCAACCTCTCTTTATCAGTAAATTATTAAACAGGCTGTTTTTTAATGTCCTCTTAAGACTCTTATATGTCAGTGAGCTCTGCTCTGCTTGGTTGCCCTGTACTGTGCCTCATTCAAAAAGTTTGGTTGAATCATTTGTTATAACTTGAACATGAACAGACAGAGCTAAACAGCTATAGGCTGAATAGATATATATAAATGTATTTTTTTTTGTTGACACCACAAAAACAATGAATTCAAAATGAGCTGCTTAGTTTCCATATATTGAATATATGGACTTTGGAGGGTAAATGGTATGTTTTGAAACTTTAACTATGTTCTGATTTTGCAGCAAACTTGTATTTTAAAAAAGAAAATGTATTTTCCCATGATATGGGCCCTTTAACTTTACTAGCTTAAACAAGATGCAAAGTCGGGATGCCTTGCGAATATGCAATTAACTAGACAATCAAGGCATACTTCGTGTTGACATTTCATGTAAGTGATCAATGTCTGTCAGCAAGCATGAATATTAACTGTTTGTCCACTGAACGCAAGTGGCCCAGCTGGACTGAAGACCATTAATGAGAGCATAGCCTCAGGATATTTGTCCATATTATCTTCATTTTGGTGCTTAGTGACATGCTATAGCCTGCGGTCAGACGTACACCATATCCCTAATATAGCAAAGAAAACATGTTTATAAGCCAGAAGATGATTGATTAGTTTTTTTTTTTCACTTACAAGATGACAACTTGAGGAAGTGTGTATTTAAATAGAAACGTCTCTTAAAGGAAACACTCCTCAAATGCACCTCCATATCTGCATTTCCACCCCTGCTAACTTCTGTATAGAAATAACGAGAACATTAACCAGTGCTCAGGGTAACACAGAGGCACAGTTTAAAGCAGCTGAGACTGAAAAAGACAGAAGATACCATCCAAATGCCCGAAAATTCTCACATGGTCATGGCATTTACTGTAGTTACAGATAACAAATGCTGGTCATGCCATAGAATACAGCAAATTGGCTGTAAAGAGAGACAATCTGTATTTTTTCCTCAACCTTCAATTTGGATAAAAGATTCAAATAAAAAAGAACTGATTCACCCTAAACTTCAGAGATAGTTGAAGTAATACACTCATAATCCCTCTGGAAATTCTTCAGCATGGTTCTGCAGGGAAGTATGAAATAAAAATTAAGGGCTTTAATGAATGTATTTACACAAATGGCTACAGCACTGAAGTACTTTAGTATTAAAGTATACTCAAAAGGGAAAATTCAGTTATTAAGATACAAACAAAGTCTTTCAGAGTGTTTTAATGTGAAATGCCCTCTTCTAAAGTACTTTCCAATTGAGAATTGTTCATAGTAGCGGTGAAAGGAACCAGACGTCTGAAGTTCAGTGACACTAAAAGCTACCTAATACTGCGTTATCACATGAAATGGTTATGAATGCTCAGCCTGATGCCTGAGAAATTGTTTTGACATAAGCGTTTGGCCTAAATTGTATTTTTTTACATTGATTCATGGCAGAGAGGTACATGCAAGGCAAAATAGTACCCTAAAACTGGATTTATTTTTCCACTATCGATATTATAATAATGTGTGGATTTACTGGTAGTTTGGGCTATATTTGCATTGTAAATCCATGATCCTTGGTTCCTGTCACCACCACTATAAAAGAAATCCAAGCAGCAAAGCTACTCCATGGTATACTATTTCATATCAAGACACTCTGAACTGACTGATTTACTCAGCAATTTGGAAAAAAATCACTGCAAGTCCCCTTTAAAGCACTGAAGTGCATCATAGATACCACAAAAAGACATACCCTCTTCCTTCATGTCATCTGGAAACAGTCGCTCTTTCACTATGGCATTGATATCTGTGAAAATATCATCTTCCTCTCGATCGGCATCAACCTAGCAAGAAAAAAACTGCTTTGCATTAATCATGATAAGCAATGCTGAATTTCCACAATGGATAAAGACCACCATTATATCTAAACCAACAGCTAAAAGACATTGTTTATGCAAACTAACCAGCCAATATTCAAAAGCTGACATTAGCCATGCTGTGCTTAATAGACTGTGGAAGCCTATGGATCATGACAGAATTGGAAACTCTCACCCTAATGATCAGTCCTTTCTCCTGGTAATACTTGGCAATGAGAGTTATGTTGTGCTTGAAGGTTTCTAGTCTTTTTTCGATGGCGTGAGTGTTATCATCAGGCCGACCCTGCAGTGAGGCACGTTTCTCCAGACGCTGACGGAGCTGCTGATTGGAGCACGCCAGAAGAATCACTAAGTCTGGAGAGCCAATCTGAGAGAAGGACAAGTAGGATTAAACGAATTAAAGTACTACTATAGGCCCAAACAGTGAATCAGTAGTAAAAGATAAAATACAGTTGTATGAAAAAGTTTGGGCAACCCTGGTCAAATGACATGATTTTTGGTATTCTAAGTGAAAAAAAGCACTGAGAACCGATGTAAATATAGGGTTTTTCTGGACATTTCAGTGCACAATTTCTATCTATTTGCTGAGTTAAACATATTGGAAAAAAATAAACATAAAACATATAATGTTCCATAACTTATGCACAGGACACATTTTATGTTAGAGCATGTCTATGAATGAAACATTGAACACCCCTGGTCAAATCCTGCACAGGAAAAAAAATAAACAAATATGGCATTTTAGTGCAACTTTTGCATAGGCCACATTTTTTTTAATTAACAGTAGTTGTGCATTAAAATGTGCATAATAATTTCAGTTACTTTTTAAACCAGACAGTTAAATTTCCTTCCTCAGTATTTTGAGTCATCAAGACATTTTTTGATAAATACTACTGCAAATTATATGAGACAAATAAAAAAAAAACTCTTCAGCACTGTGCAAAAGTCAGAGACCACACTTCATTTATGTATTGTCCAGTCAAAACATCCATTAAGTTATTCATTTTTCAACATGAAGAAAACATATTTAACAGCAAACAACATAGATGTATCTAAATATAACATCATTTTTTTAGCATTTAGTGTGCCCACTCTTTGCCTTTATTACAGCTTACATCCTCTTTGGGAGACTTGCTTTCAGGTTTTCAAAGAAATCTTCAGGAATATTTGTCCACACTCCAGAGTTTAGTCTAAGAAGTTAGTTGTATTTTCTTCTTCTCACAATCCAAGTAATCTCAATGACAAATTCAGACTCATCCTTCCATAAAAGCTTACTCCACATATCAGACATCCAGTTTCAATTTTCTAGGGAAAACTTTCTTCTTCTTTAACCATCTCTTTTTCTCAATAACAGTTTCTTTATAGCTGCACATCCTTTCAGACTCAATGAGTTGTCTTCTCACAGTGGAAGGATGGACAGAAACACCTGTGGATTTTTTCAGATGTGAGGCAAGAGCAGAGCTTGATTTTCTCCTCTCCTTATCTGATGGTGACAGTCTTGGTGGTCTACCTGGTCTTTCACACTTTGTTTGAAGTCACATTTTCTCAGTAGCTTTGACTAATTTTTTGAGCTCCAACTGTGAAAACTCCTGTTTTTTTTTCTCTGATTTCCACTTCTTCAGGCAAGGGGATTATCTTCTATTTAATCACTTCAGAAATATCCCCTAAAAAATGAATAACTTATACTTGGCAGTTTTGACTACAAATAAATGAAGGGTGGTCTCTGACTTTTGCACAGTACTGTAGATGTCTAGCTATTTATCTTTTAAGTTGCACAGAGTTTTGCTGTTGTGTCTTGATGGCTATTGAAGAAGGAAAGCTGAATATTTGGTTTGAAAAGTAACTTAAATCTAAGATTCTGAAATAAAAGTTATTATAGAAAACAAAACAAAAAAAAATTCTCACATACACAGAAACCTGAGAAGGTCAAAACCTACTTTGTTTTTAAAATGCACTGAGCATATTTCAATGAAAGTAAAAACTGTGGGGAGCCATGTAATTCTGTGAGACTCTGTAATATTCTATGATAATGGTTTAATATACAAGAAAAGGTCTCTGAAGGGATAAGTACACTGTGGCCCTCTTATTGCAACGTCTTATTACATTGCTTTATTGAAGTTTTATTGAATTGCTCACTTGTTCTTCAAACGTGAATGCCTGTGATATTTCCCGCGGGAATCCATCCACAATGAAGCCTTTGGCGTCTTGTTTCTTGATGAACTGATGCTTCAGCTCCTCGATAGTTGTCTCCTGGAGAATTTAAATTTTATCTCAGTAAGAGATCAGGGCAAGCATAACAAGATATTAATCACCATCTGTTCTAGTGCACTGTGTTAGAACTATACAAATTTGTGCACATGGTTAACAGATCTGACTTCATTACTTTTTCCAGTAGATAAAAAACACCAACCACTTTACTAAGATATTGAAAACACAAACACCATCACACCTGGGACCACTCAGCTCCTTTTGAAGTAAGCTGGGGGTTTAGACCTGCATGCTCTTTCATGCAGGCTTTTTCAATTATTAACTATGTATCCCAAGCCAATGGATGTAATATTTCTGAGAAGTACTTCAAACAATCTGTGCAGTCAGGTTTTGGAAACACTCACTATGAGCCTTACAGACCTTTATGCTGAAAAAGAAAACACTTTAACCCTTAGAAGTCTAGAGTTGCTTTTGTTTTGCTATATTATTTAAAAATAATTATGCAATTACACACATTCGTATTGAGCTTGAACACTCCTGGTCCAGTTACATTTTGGTGATTTTCTAAGTGAAAGTAAGTTAACACTTAACACATCCTCTACAGGGGAAACACTTAAATACGCCATTCTCCTCCAAATTTACTGCACAGTTCCTATATATTTGCTGAGTGAGCACATTGGAAAATAGTAAAACATGAAACATAAATTGTGCTACAACTTTCATAAAGGCTATACTGTATGATTTCTCTTCCTAATACGTTAAATTCAGCAAATAAACAGTAAGTATGGATTAAAATAGTAGTTTGTTCTCTGTAAAACTTGACTTATTTTCACTTAGGAAATCAACAAAACATGTCATTTGGCCAGGGGTGTCTGTAATCAAACTGTAATTATGCAATTATTTGCATTTGATTAATGTTCTGTATTGGCAGTTTCAAATCTGCACGTGTCGTTTTCTGTTTCTTTTGATGTCAAAAATGCCAAAAACTTGGCAATAATGTAAAGGATATTTTTATTCCAGAAAACATTTTTTTATCAATTCCATGTCATAATACAATATCTGCTCTCCTGTTTATGTAATAAAAGTGTGGTATTGTGAAAGAAAGTCAAAAATGTCCACTCTCGACTGAATTTCTGCTGGTTTCAAGCAGCTGTTTGTGAGTAATTATTAATATTGTAATGTAAGATGCTTTTGTTATTCATGTGCTGTGTCCATGTCTACCACTGTGCAAAATTTACATAACATATGCATGCATACATATTTCCATCTTGTTGGATGCACTGTTCTTTTTTTTCGAAAATGAAAGCTCATTCAGAGCACAGTGCAGATTATTATTCAGATTATTAAGCACTTATTATTGATTTGTTTATTCAAATCATAGAGCAGGGTGTTTACTTGTTCAAAATGGTAGTTAGCGACACGGTTTGAACGAAAATGAAAAATTTTTTAATCTGTCAATCCTTGACTTAGATCATGTTTTTAACATATCAAAATAAACACAACAACAGCATTTAGAAACTGTGTTATTAATGAAACAGAGTAAATAAAACCACACAAATAGCCATTTTTTTGCATTAACTTTAAAGGGTTAAAGATGTTTGCTTGGGTTAGTTGAACCATACAGTGATAATCAACAATGAAAGAATGAGATGTTAATCTGGCTAGTTTTAGTAATGTGATATTATGCTAATCAGAAACACTAGCCTTCATTCATTATTAGCCATATTGACTGAATTATCCATATCATGCATCTCACAAACTGTGTACCTCTTATCTATTTCCTGCATTTCACAAACTGTGTGGTTCATTTGCTCCCAAAACACTTGTAAATGAAGTGTGGGCTGTATAGTGAAAGTGAAATAGTACTGGCACTCACAAAGCCGTACCTGAGGTGCCAGTTCTCCGTTGGCGATGATCTGAGCAATCAGCTCCCACTTCCTATCACTGGGTGCATGGTGCAGCAGCTGGTTCCTCAAAATTTCCCCCACAGATACACATTCGAAATCATAATGAGCCGCGATCTTAGCCGTCTGAGTGCCCTTCCCACTGCCTGGTCCACCTGAGGAGAAAAGATGACAAAAGAAATGAAAACTACAATGAAATGATGGACAGACTGCAATGAAATTCATTAGAATCAATCCATGAATTCAGAAATTAGACCAACTGAAAATATTAACATTGAGACTGAAACTAAGAACCAACAGAACAATAGGCTAACAGACCAAAAGACCCAAAATACCAAGTAGCTAACCCAAGTTTCCTAGAACTACTCAGCAATGTCTACACTGACCACTTACCTATGACGAATATGATGTGAGGCCGTGGTTTGGATGGGTCAAAGACATCATACTCCTGTATAAGTCCAGAAGACTCGGTCATGTCAGAATCACTCTCAATGGAGAACTGAGCCTGAATGGGGGGCAGTCTGTCATAGCGTCTGTAAGGCCCAGGACCAGGACCACTGTCTATGAAACGTGAAAGATGACATGCAGTATGTACACTGTTAATCACTGCCAGGATTTCACAACACAACACTAATTTTTCACAGTAAAACACTGTATTCATCATTTTCTTATGAAATCAACTTATCTCAAGATATATTCTGTAATAACACAGCAAATTACTGTGAGGTTGATGTTGAGCTGTATTGCACAGCATTATGGAATATAACAGCAACTGAGAGTTACAAAGGTGTTAACATTGTAATAAACAATGAAACAATGAAAACAATGATTCAGGTTTTGGTGTTTTAAAGACTTTTAAAGTGTTATACTGGAATTTTGCTGGAACACTGAGGTGTTGACAAAAAGGTTTTTTTTAGTACTGCTAGATAAAAGTTGTTGGTCATGTTTGTTAAAGTTATAAGCAAAATTAAAATGTCTGTGTATTTGCAAAAAAATAAAATTTAAAAAAAATAAATTTTTTAAAACATATTTGAAGATCTGGTAAAAGTAATTTTATATGTAATTTTACAGTAAATTACTGGTTACTAAGTTGCATTACTTTTACAGGTGTTATGTAAAAATATACAGTCCAAGTGACGGTGGAGTCACAGTATACAGTGACTATTTTAATGTTATTTACTGATACCATTGTACAATAAATGACTGTGAAAGTAATGACACTAGTAGCCAGTCATTTACTGTAATTTTACAGTGGAACATGTTACAGGGAAATTGCTATTTGTTCTTATATATTCTTATTAGGGATGCACAATACATCAGTGGCTGATATGTTATAAATGAATGGGAAAATAGAAAATAGATTATTATATTACTATTAATGACTATTAGAATTACAGCCAATAGTTACAACCAACAACCTATGTCACATTCCACTGTAAGATAAGAGCATCTGCTATATTTAGGGGTTCCAATAATTGTCATATCTGATTTAGCTATGTCATAGCTATGCATAATTATTTAATGACGCATAGTTAGAGTTTGTTTCTTACGCTCACTGAACTTCAGGTACGGATTACTCTGAGAAACTATTTTAAATGCTTCACATCATCCTGCCTTTCATGAAAGAGAAGAGCTTCATGTAGTATGCAAACCGTTCATGTAGCATGTCAAAACCTACCCTTCACTCCTCAGTCCATACAGTACATATATGGAAACTAAGCTGCAAAAACAGCCTGTTTTGTGATGTCACAAAAACCAACACATATATCTGCCTATTCAGCCTACAGCAATTTAGCTCCAACTCATGCTGAAGTTATAAGGAGTGTTTCAGCTTGAATTGCATTTTGAATGCGGCACAATATAGAGCAGGCAGGCCAGGCTATTATTTCATATAAATGTGAAATAATTCTTCAGATTGATGGAGAATGTGTTGTACACGGTTTAATATAGCACCCTTTTTGAAAATGGTTCTATATAGCACCAAAAAGGGTTTGTCTACTGTTACAAGCAGAATCCTTTTTGGTGCTATATAGAATATTTTGAAAAAGGTTCTAAATAGAACCATTTACAACACATCCTCCATCAATCTCACGAACGACTGCACCATGCAAAAAAACATTTAACCATGCAAATGGCTCTTTGAGTGTTGATGGTTCTATATACTAAACATATACTAGACTTACTTACTAAAGAACCCTAAAGAACCATCCTTTTTAAGAGTATAGTGTTTTGATACTATTTGAATCGCTCAACAGTTATACAATGCGTTCAACATCTTGATATCATAGTGATTCATTTGTTACTGGGACCTACCCAGTTTACAGGGGGCTTTCTTTCCCTGGGCAGTACTAATAGGAGGTAGTGGTTTCCTGTCAGGCGTGATGAAGGTGTCCCAGGCCACACATTCAGGACCCCCAAGCTCTCGTGTTTTCTGCAAGCAGTTTTCCAGAAAGCTCAAAGGATCCTCGGGCCGGTGGTACATCAAGCCAGTCAACATGCTCTGAAAAAGAGCAGAAAAGCCATAGCTTAGGATACAGTATTAATGCAGCCCCTTCACACTGAAAACCTTCTCTATACACCCACAAAGCACGTTTTAGAGCACTATACTAATACTGGCCTGCCTTTGCTTCGTGGCATGGATTCCAAAAGATATTGGAAACATTCTTTTGAGATTCTGGTCCTTGTTGTCATGATTGCATCTAGCAATTCCTGTAGATTTTTAGGTGCACTTTCATGTAGTGAATCTGTTCTACCACATCTCAAAGATGTTCTGTTCATGAAACCAATTCAAGATGACTTTTGCTTTGTGACATGGTGCATTATTGCATTTCAAGATGAGCAAACTGTGGCCATGAATTGATGCATATGATCAGCAACAATACTCAAAAAGGCTGTGGCATTCAATTGATGACTGATTAACGGGTGTACCAAGAAAACATTCCCCACACCATTACACCACCTCCATCGGCCTAGACTGCTGACGTAAGGCAGGTTGGGTCTATGGATTCATGCTGTTGGTGCCAAATTCTGACCCTACCATCTGTGTGCCTCAGCAAAAATTGAGATTCTTCAGCCCAGGATATGTTTTTCATGTCCAGTTTTGGTGAGCCTCTGCCCACTGCAGCCTCAGATTTCTGTTCTTGGCTGAAAGAAGTGGAATATGATCTGGTTTTCTGCTGTTGTAGCCCATCCACCTCAAGGTTCAATGTGTTGTGCATTCTGATATGCTTTTCTGCTCAAGACAATTGTACAGAGTGGTTACATGAGTTACTGTAGACTTTCTGTCAGTTCAAAAGAGTCTGGTCATTCTCTCTGCTCACTGGATGTTTTTCTTTATTGCACCATTCTGAGTAAACCCTAAAGACTGAGTAGGCCCTAGAGACTGTCATGCCTGGGTAGGGTATGAGACAGCTGTGCCTGCAAATCCCAGGAGATCAGCAGGAGTGTCAGAAATACTCAAACCTGCCTGTCTGGCACCAACAATCATGCCACAGTCAAAATCCAAATCACATTTTTTCCTCATTACCTGAAGCTGCTGGCTTGTAACCTGCATGATTTTATACACTGTACTGATGCCACATGATTGGCTGATTAGATAATTGCATGAATGAGCAGGTGTACAGATGTTCCTGCTAAAGTGCTTGGTGAGTGTATATGTATCATAGGTTGAGGTTTAGTGAAAACATCTAGTTTACTACTGTGTGGCTGGCATCAAATGACATATTTGGTTCTAGCCACATTATCCAATGCATCATGTTGATGTTTATTGGTTAGAGTGAGGTCCTAACACAATTATGTGTAACCTTATTTGCTTCACGACTCAAAGCGAATTGTGAGAGCGAATGGATCTCGCCCACACACACACACATACACACATATACACACACACACACATACAACCCTTTCCCATCCGGTGCCTACGGATTCCTGGACCAGTCTAGATGGACAGGTGAGATGAAAAGAGAGAGAAATGAATAGCACAGTGCAGAAAATGATAATTGCAAATGGCCACTCTATTCAGCCCACACAGTGCAGCCGTGCAGTGGACCGCTCGGCTTGTCCGGGGATGGGAGGACTAAGCCGGCCCTAATCAGTCATTTGCTTCTTCTGATGCTAATATAGACACTGTGCATTTACATGTCAATCCACACAGCGCACAACGCAATAAATAATCAGTTTCTAAATAAGGCAGCTGTGTAGGACAGGTGAGCTGACTGTGCCTTTAATATGCACCAGACATACAGGTTCCCTTTCCCCTCAAAAACAGGTTTCCCAAACGGTTTCCTATACGTTTTTTCTAGCATTTGAACAACACAACAATGTTATGAATGAAGTGTTTGGATTGGAACGATGGAGGATGAAACTACAGCAAGCTGATATACTTCTGTGACGAATACAGTGAGGTTGACATCGACATCAGTTATTGTATTTGAAACAGTGGACTATTCATGTCAAAGTTTTGGGGTGCTATATGTAAAGTGAGCCCTCTAGCTATATAAGTGTACATGAACTGACTTTAATTTAAAAATAGCAGCTTCCTTGTTCAAGTTGTTGCTTCCTCAGGAAATGATTTGAGTAAACAGACTTTAGATTCATAGATTATTTAGATTGAGTAGAGCACTTCAACTTTTCCCAATAGTACACGTCTTACATTAGGTGAGTGAGTAAGTAATGTACAGTCATATGCAAAAGTTTGAATACGCTGGTCAAATTCTGGTACATGTTGATTACCTAAATGAAAATATGTTAATACATCCTCTGTAGAGGACAAACTTAAATATTGCATTTTTTTCCTGCAACTTTTAGTGCACAAATTACTGTTAAAAAATACATTGTCACATTAAGTCACATGCTTTTCTAAGTGCATCATGCATACTGTCAGTATTTAAAGAACACCGAAAAGCTGCACGTTTCATTGTGAATAGAGTAAAATTAGTTCTGGTTAATTTGGTTCAGTACAATGCAATATTGTATTAATAGGTTTTGATAGTATTTTAAATGTAGGACTACTTTTTTTGTCTGTTCCAACTTGTCAAACCTCAGAAAAGTGCTGCCAAATTTCATTTCGCCCTTAAACTCTGATGGCCCATCTGAGGCTCCAGACTTTCATTTCTCACAATCATAAAAGCTTCACAGTTTTGTAGTACTTACTTAATAATTCATAATAGACAATAGACACAATAAGACTTATGGTCATTAACTGAGTAATAAACCCCAGAATTAAAGGCCGAATAATGCATCCATTAGTGTGTTGTCTATCCGCACACTATGCCTACTCAAATTCATTCTCATTCACTCTCTCTCTCTTCTCTTCCCCTCTCTCGCTTTCTTTCAAGGTCCCCAATGCCTGGTCTGTATGTATGATGAGTCAGTTGAAATAAATAGGGAGCTTGTTGCCTTGGCGACAGTCAGTGTGGACTACATGTGCGGAAACTTCAGTCTATACTCTACCGCCGAAAGGGAAATTCTCACATATTTACGTTCCACGCGAAGCACTGGCCTGTCTGGGCATGTGCCTCTTACACACGATGGAGACGATCTGCTGTCTGCTGTTCTCTTGAAAATGACATTCCTTCGGTGAGTGCTGCGTACGGCGCCGGATGAGATTTCCAATCACACGCCTGAATGCATGCATGCTCCACACGTCAATATCATGTTTATCCAAGGTGTTCAGGCTCTGTATTCATTGAAGGTGTTTTGTATGCAGCCGCGTAACACCTCTTGCAGCCTGAGCCCTCCTTGACAGTCTCTGAAGAAAAACTTGCCACTTGCAGACAAACTTGAAGCTCGCTGCCCTGCAATTACAGCATCCCACTTGAGGATCACCATAGAGACAGATTGAAGGATCTAATTTCCTATGTAAATGTCCAGGCTAAAGGGACATAAGCCTGTTTCTTAGTGCCTGCTGGCTCCCCTACCATTAAAAACAGACTTTTTAATGACTTCAAATGATTTCAGTTAGATAGAATCCCCATGAAAATGATCTATAATAATACTATAATATAGCATTCTATAGTGCTTTATCATACTTTTTAAGGGTGGGTTATGTGATGATATGTATTGTTATTGTGAAGAGTTACACCATATTAGGTCACAATATGCCTTTCTGAGCATATCATGAATACTGTCATTACTTAAAGGAGACTGCAGGTTACATTACAGAGTGTAATGAATCATATTTAATTGGATGTAGAACAGTATGGTCTGTGAAATGTTGAATACAATCATTATAATCATTGTTTTTGACAGTATTTTTTTTAAGTGTGGCTCTACTGGTGCTTTTTTATCTGTTCCAACTTCACAAATTTCAGAAAATCTACATACTGTGATGCAAATTGTGTATCATGAAATTGTTCTGAAGTATTGTGATGTTATATTTTTGCCATATGAACTACACCTAATACTTCTGTAATGGTTCATCATTCTTTCACGTCCATAATATCTCTGTAGTATTATCTCACAGTAGTCTATGTACTATCGTGTAATTACTTGCTGTGAGACTGAAGCAATCTGTTGTTTTTTTTCCATAAGTTCTGTTATAGAGAGAAATGGCTTATTCTCTCAAAACATGCGACCTGGGCTATTTATATTAGCCTTTGACTTTAGTATGTGAAAAAGCAGCAAGGTAAAAGAAGTTCATATTCACTAATATACATACATATTAATGCGCACAAACCTGTGGATGTAAAGGGCAACTCCACTGATTTTTCAAAATTGCAGCATGATTAAATGGTTAGGAGGTAAACAAAGTCATTCAGAGTGATTTGGTGTGAAATACTATGTTCTAGTGAAACATACCGAGTGGGAAATGGTCACAGTGGTGGTGATAGGAACCAGACATCCACCTCTTAAAGCTCCCTTCCAGAAACATGAAACGGTTACATTGTCTGATGTCTGACATATTGTTTTGTGGTAGTTTTGTGATAATGTTTTGGTCTAAAACATATTTTAATCAGTTTACTTTAAACCATTCACGGTGGAAGGATACAAGGCAAAATAGTCCCCAGAGAAAAGTGATTCATTCAGATTTTCCACTATTTTACTATCATCAATATTTTCATACAAAACTCAGAAGACGTGTGTAGGTTCACTGGTGGTTTTGGATAGTAAATAAAATGGTTATATTTGTGTTGTAGACATCAGAACCCCTGGTTCCTATCATCACCACTGGAAAGACATGAGACCGTAAGTTTCTCTACAAATGAACTATATTTCACACTAAACCACCCTGAAGGACTCTGTTTACATCTCAACCACTGAATTATGCAGCAATTTTGAAAAATCAATGGAATTCCCCTTTAACATTTATATAGACAGTTCATACAGCTATCAAAGCCAAGACTGATTAATCATTTTCACAGTATTATGAGAACATGATGCAAAAACACTGCGGTCTAGTTCGAGCTGAGTCATTAGAGCTGAGATCTGCTAAGTAAGCTTACAAAAGCAAAGTCAGTCTCTCTCTTCGTCCCAGGAGAGACTCAAAAATCCACTAACCTAGAAAGATGAATTTAGCCTACAACGCACTAGACAAACATCTCTCACTTCTGTTTCACAGAAAGTAAACAGACTAGCTGGCATATCCGTCTTCAGAGACTACACGAGGACTTTGTTTCACACGGACAACTTGTTGCTCAACTCGACACTCGCCTTAAAAGCCATTTTCAGTTTTCAGTCGTGTTAACATCTGAAACAGAACCGAGCCGAGATCTAAACGGTTTAACCCTGTCAAACAACAGTTCGGCTAAGTTTTCCCCTCGGCTATTTAACCGTACCTCAAAAAGGTGAGGGATCTGCCGCCTGGAAAGATATTCCTTGGCGTCGTTGGTGTTCATTTTTCTCTTCTTTTCTTCTTCTCTTCCTTCTTCTTTCACAGGTAGGCTGACTAAATCCGCGTGTGGAAAACGAAGGTCTTGTATGTTGTGATGCTTTGCTCTCTCTGCTGGACTGAGCTTGTGTGTGTGTGTGTGAGAGAGAGAGAGAGAGAGAGAGAGAGAGAGAGTGAGAGAGGAAGAGAGTGTGTGTGTTTGGGTGTGTATTTACGTCTTTGTGGGGACCAGGTGTTTCAGGATAAAATAAAACATGAACATTTGCAGGGACTGTTTTTTGCTGGTTCCCATGAGGATTTATTTTATTTTTTAAAGTGAGACCATAGTTCAGGTACCGTATATCTAAGCCTAGGACTAGAACAATTATTTACTGAAATACTGTAACATCATGAGGAGAAAGCACTGTACCGTAGTGTAGCATGTTTGTTTGTGAACACGTGTAAACATGCATTTAGCTCTCTGTGGGGACCAGATGGACCAGATGTTCCAGGGTAACAGGAAACATGATGATTTTGAATTTATGGGGATATTTCACTGGTTTCCATGGGGGTGTCTTATATTAAAATTAGAATGTTTCTTTTGGTTCCCAAGGTTAATGTTAGGGTTGAGTTAGATAATAAAACATCAACATTTAGCAATGGGAGATAATAGAAATAAAACCATGTGCGCAGGTGGTACAAGTTTGTGAGTATGTGTGGAGGTCTTTGTGGAGATATGCCAAGATTTTTTTTTCTGGGGACTTTCACCTTTCAAAAATTGCTTTTTGCATATTTACAGTGGTGTCGGTCACAACTGTTCTTTTTGGTTTAAAAGAAAAGAAACTGTTCATGTTTATGTTAGGCTGTTTAGTTCATAAGGAATGTAGCATTTGTTATGCTCTGTTTCAGGAACTCTATTTTTGAAGGGCAGGGCTAGGTGCTGCTGTGTGGTGGTGGTAGCAAGTTTGAAAGCGTTAAATGGGTAACAGAGAGCGAGCTAGAGCAGAGCCAACAATAGAGCAGTGAGCTAGCACAGCACTGAGTTTCCCCTTCATTTTGCACGCCACTGAGTTTTCCCTTTATTTTGAAAGCTGCAATATGGATTATATGGATTTTGTCATCAAAGTTTCTACTGAGAACCACCTGCACTACAATGGTGTCAGAACAGAAGCGGAAAAAAATAAGACGTTGGTCCCAGCGGCGGCATGAGGCTCCGGCAGAGTGACAGGTAGGCCTCGCTGAGAGGGGTGTGGTACAACGGCGAAGGGGGCCGCAGCCAAGGATAAGAAAAAGCTGTGAAAACTCAACTCAGCAGCCTTGAGGAAGTGTTCAGTCTCCCGAAGACGGCGAAAGAAAGCAGCAAGCCGCCATGATGCACAGGCTATCTGGGGGAGGGACTCTCTCAAAGATTCATAGCACGCTGGATGGAAGGGTGCAGCGCCCCTCCCCCACGCGCAGGTTAGCTGAAGAAACAGCCAACCTGCAGCTGTCGACAGGACAATTAGGCATCAAAATGATGTCCGCCACAGCGTCCTTGCCCAATGCCATGACTCAAACATAGCAGTCAGAGCCACTCTTACAGCTCCAGTGCATCTGCCTGAGGTAAGGTGTTGCAATGGTATGAGGAGATGGCCAGCTTAATTGAAGATGTTTGCAGCAGCAACAAGGTTGGGGGAACCAGGTGAAATTAACACAGTTAGCCTTGGTGCTAGAAGGGCCAGCCATGCAGATACTGTTAGACCTCCCCACACACATTACAGTAACTTGGCACAGCCTCATAGCCAGCCTGGGAAAGTGATTTTGTGAGCGCGTGGGGCCCATTCACGTTAAAAAGAAACTCAATCAGAGAGCACGCCAGCACAGAGAGAAGCTGGGTCTGCTAGTCATCAACATAGAAAATATGGTGGGTCTCATCTATTGAGAGTTTGAGAGAGCAGCCTATGATTGCTTGGCTTTGGATGCATTTTTATGCATAGTAAGGCCAATAAGGCTCCAACAACAGTTACAGCTTGCGAAGCCAACTTCCCTGAAGGAGGCTTTACAGTGGACAGAAGAGATAGGGCACAATCTTGGGAGGTTATGCAGGCTACAACCAGGTTCGCCCAGTGGTGCAGGTGGACTGCAGTGACAGCGAGGTGGAGATGATCCTGGCCGGAAGTTTCAGCCAGCAGAGAGACTCCGGGGGTTTTTAATCCGCACCGCCAGTAAGCTGTCCCCCTAAGCTGGTTGTGCAATGCTGCTAGACATTGTTTTACTTCAGGACCACCTTTATCGGGGCCCTCCAGCACAATGCCCCCAAGTCCCAACGCACACTCTCCAGCTGCACAGAGAACTCCTACAGGCTCCCTGGCATCTCCAGAGCACTGTTAACACTCCTCAGCAGCTTCTGAATCCCCTCTATGGCCCTTGGTGACCCAGGATGACACCCCGATGGCCGCAGCAGACAGCCCAGAGGCCAAGCCTGTGGAGATACTAGATAGCCCTGTGGGCTGGTAGCCCTTAAAGAGGAGACATCGGGCTCCTAGACATTTCAAAGACTTGGTCTGGTAGGACTGGTAAGCAGTGGGATTGCTGCTCTTGGACAAATAGGGGAGAATTCTGATTTTGAAGGGGCTAGGTTCTGCTGTGTGGTTGTTATAGCAGGCGTGAAAGGACTAGGTGGCTAGCGGAAAGAGATAGAACAGAGATAACAGTAGAGCAGTGAGCCAGCACGGTGTGAGTTTTCTGTTTGTTTTCCACTGAAATTCAAATAAAGCTGCATTATGCTGTAAATGTAAATATATCGCTGCTGTTGGAAAAAAACCTCTCCATTTGTGACGTTTTTCAGTTTCTGACATTATTAAAAAATGCCTGTTGCTCTTTACACTGTGTGTAAATTTCATGATGAATGGACCAAAAGAAATGGCCCAAAATGACTGGTTCCATTAAGTTACATTAAAAGTAAAGTAGTTTTTTTTTACATTTTCCTGTAAAGTTATCATTTCGGAGATATGTGGTTTTCTTCCGACAACAGCAACACACACACACACACATATATATATATATATATATATATATATATATATATATATATATATATATATGGTTGCTGATGTTGATATCAGAAAAGGTAAAAAAAGGCCAGATTTAATGGCAACAAAGACAGGAATACAAAACAAACTCTGTGTTGTGTGTGTGTGTGTGTGTGTGTGTGTGTTGGCTCCGATAACCTGAGGGTGATGGCTATATTCAACGCTTGCTGTTTTCACTCATGCTGATGAAAAAGAGAGTCATGAACTTGGCTCAGTCTACTCATGAGTAAGCGTGTGAAAACCATACCAGCTGCTCTGGCCAAATGTGATAACAAGTTATTGAACATTTATGAGTTGGGCTGTGGTTATGCAATCCTGTGTCTTTTTTTTTGGAGAAAATAATGAACAGCCATACTAAAAACACTCATTTTATTCATTGAAACTTAAAAAAGGTTATAGAGTGATTTAAAAGAATAATCTATTGATATGTTTTACTGAGCAAAAACGTATGCAAAAACTTTCTTTAAACTTTAATGAAAATCACTGTTCCAGCCTGTGCTAATCAGTTCAGCTGGGAGTATGCCTTCCTTAGTTGTCGTTATTAGTTTGTTTTATTTTTCTTACTTATCTAAGGAATCAGCCTATTGAAACCAGAGAGTTGGATGTCCCATGCCATATGTTAAATACAACACGTCCCATCTGCCAGGAATCAACAGCTTCATATTCAGTGCGTTTTGTAACATTTTTTTTCCACTTGCGTTAAATGTAAACGTATCTGCTTGTAAATTATGAGCGACAGCTGTTGTGGCACTGATCTACATTGTTTTGTGTGACAGCAGTTAGTTCCATTACCCTTAAAATAATCATCAATATGTTAATAATTTTCCATGGCGCTGTTGACTTGGAATTTGAACAAACACGTTCACAGTGCAACGACTGGAAGAAGAACAGTTGAATTGCTCCGTTCCCTCAGACATTAATGTCTACCTCACCTCTCTGTTTCTTGACCCAGCATATCGGTCTAGACCAGTGTTTCCTGCTCTGGTGCTGAAGTGCCCCTGCTATATATTGGAGTGTTTAACTTGCTCTAAATCACCTCTAATAATTAACCTCAAGAAGATGAATGTGTTAGAACATGAGGGTGGAGTTGGACGATATTCATTTTTCAAAATTGGTGGAATTTTTTTTAATATCCTGGTACACAATACTATCATTCGTGTTAGAGAAAATGCTCAATTTAAAAAATATGTAGTCTATAAGGATGTGCATGAGTACTCTTGTTCTCAGTTAACCATTCCAGGGGCCAATATTTATGAAAAAATCTGAAAAGATTATGAAAGTATACAGGCCAGCAATTCAAAGCGCAGTTAAGTTCTAACTGATGTGATAGTTTTGCTCATCTTTTTCAAGGATGTAAGTTAAATTACATCATACTTCACGACTATAAAACATGAACATACTGTATTATTAAAGTTAACCTGAAATTAAAATTGACCTTTTTTACCTTGTAAATTCATGTCCTTGGTCATATTGATTCATGTCCTTGAAGTGTGATCCGTTATATCATATATTTTGAAAGACAAATTATTGCTTTCCTGTAATCTGAAATGTCACTGTGCAAGAAAACATAATATTCATCAATAATAGTTTTCATCTCCCTCTCCCACCCCCCCTAACATCGCCTGAAACGCTCAGCTAGCTCAGAGAGCCTCCCTGATACCCTGTTTGCGGTCAGTACCTAGGCTAACTACTCCAGCTAGCATTAACTAGCAGAGACAAATATACTTCTCTGTTCTCAGCGTTACGTCAACAAACTAATATGTTGGCACATCATTCACTGAGAAGAAAACCGTCTTGTGTGGAAGCTCACAAGTCATCTAAGGCTGTTCTGGTTTGCTCCATTGTTAGCATTAGCTCATTAGCTTATCTGAAGCAGCCTCCATTAGTCAAGACTTATCTTACATGAAAATGTTAGCATTTTAACCCACAGTGACCAAAAGATCTCCCTTAGCTGTGTTTGTTTTCTGCTGTTTTCTGCTAAGTATTCCTTCATGTTACTAAATGCTTTAGCCTGCTATCACTAGTTCACCGGCCCTGTTTGTGTTATAGGTGAGAACTATGATATATTAATGTGCTATAACTCCTTTTTCGTCTTCTTCCATGTGGTTAACGAAATATCTGTTCAATACCTCTTGGGGATACTCAAATATCAAAATTAATCTGAATGCACATCTCTAGTTGTCTACATTGCTATTTTGGCTGTGCAAAACAACTGTGCAAAAACTAGCCAATTGCGTCTCTTTTATGCATTCTATTCATCTCAGATCATCATCATTTCTTGTGTACTTCAGCGCTTTTAGCAAAAATTCCAATATTTGATGTTTGTATCTGAGTCTGACTTGTGAATTGTTTCAAATTGCCACAAAATAATTCCACTGTGGCCTTGTGATGATGATATCATCAAATCACCCAAGCCTACATGAGGTGGAGTCAAAATATGCTGTGCAGGAGCACCAGAGGACCACAGTTGGGAAAGAATGGTCTAAACTTTATGCCACAAAGCTGAGCCAGATAAAGAGGTCAACCAATTCCACCAACGACCGCAATATTTCGCTCTGAGAAATGCTCCAGGATGTTGTCAGAGTCAGTGCTTAATGAGAGCAGTGAAGTGCAGCAGCAGTCTCTAACTGGAGTCTTCTTCAGAAGGCTTGGACTTGGGCTCAGAGTCTGTGTCATCCTTCTCATCCGGATGAAATGAGACTCGCTGTTCATCCATACGTTTAGCCTGCACTCTCTGAATGAGGCTGAAAAAGTCTTCATCCGGATCCGGAGCTGGAGGCAGGGAGCACCTCTGGTCATTAATCCTGGAGGACTGGAGGAAGAAGTACAGTAGGATAAATTAAAGAAGAGATTCAATTCCTCACTCGATTTTTAGGTAAGAGACTTCTCACTAAATTGCTTTCCTTTCTCACCCAGATGACCTTCTAAACTAAGTTATGAGGAAAATGAGTAGGGCTGCATGATATGGGTGAAAGATTAGCATTGCAATTATATTAGACTGCGATCATATTCTGCAGCTTTAGTTATGAAAACAGACCACAATGGGTTCAATAAAAAATTATGTAAAAATACTACATGGGTGTAATGTGCAATACTGTGCGAAAGTCAGATTTCCTGTCAATAAAAAAGCAGGATATTACACAGAAGCCTCAGCGACTTCAAAGAAATCAGCAAGACTATTTTTAGGTGCTTCTTGTAAAGACCTCCAAAGCTTAGTCTTAGTAGTCACTTGTATTTTCTGCTTCTCATGATCCAATTTAGACTCATCAGTCAATAAAACCTCATTCCACATTGCTGATGCCCACTTGTCTTCTCACAGTGGGAGGATGGACAGAAACACCTGTAGATTTTGTCCAGTCTGAAACAAGAGTGGAGCTTAATTTTCTCCTCTCTCCCAAAGTTGAATTCTTTAAGTTTTGTTTATCTGATGGCAACAGATTTAGCGACCTACATGGTCTTGTTATACAGTTGTAAAGAGTCATATTTTCTCTATATCTTTGAACTTTAGTTTAGGAAATTTTGACTTTCCTCTTTCTTTTCCTTAAATCTAATCTTCTCAGAAATATCTGTATAAAAACAGCATGTACTTAATAGCCATTTTGACTGGAAATTAAATGAATGAAGGTTGGCCTCTGAACTATGCATTGTACTGTATCATCTATAGATTATAATACAGGGTGATTCAAAAAGATTCATTCAGTTTTCAAACTGTGCAACGTGATTTTCGTCGGCAGTGAACCTCCAACAGCTCAGAGCATTCGTCATTGGCTCCACAACACTGGATTATCTCTGAAATCGCACTGAAAGAGCCATGAGTACAGTGACACCCGACATGCTCAATTGAGTATGGGATGGATTTGACTATCGTGTTGAAGTTGTCTGCACAGCTGAAGGAGGTTCATATTGAGCACTTGTAAAATTACATAATAAACTTTATGCTCATTTAAACCATTTACAATGTACTGCATTGTTCTGTAATGAATTACAAGTGAAATAAATCATTTTGAAATCAGATGAATCTTTTTGAATCACGCTGTATAATACTCAGGCTGTTTGACATTACCTGATACTTTATAAGCATATTGAAGAATTCATCGCTAGGCTCCTGTGGATTGCAGGCTTCACAGAGATGGCCGACATTGTTCTGGGTTATCGTGATGCCCAGTCGATCTCCTATACTGGCCCGCTGGTCGTCCAGCCTGCGGCTCTGTGAGCTGGCTATCAGGTCAAATAGCTCCTCTGTCTGTGTGAGGGAGATGAGGGAGGTGGCCCCGGAGAGCAGTGGAGACTGACGCCCGGGTGACTGGGCTCCAGACGAGGCCTCTCGCGGCTGGCCGTTGGGTTGTGGAGTGTGCTGACCGCGCCGGTTCTCCATACAGCCTCTTGTAGACTCGCAGAGGCCCGCGATGAGGCAGTCCTCATTAGAAGAGCCCTGGCTCTGGCTTTAGAGAAAAAGAATATGGTAAGTAAAGTGAGACAACTAGAAAGGACAGTGAGTCTTAGTGGAACTAATTGGGCTGGGGCTTTCTACAGCATAAGGAAAAACACTGTGTCCAGGCAGTAAAAGGAAAAGTAAGAGTTGTACTGTTCACACAATGGGCCAGATTCCTAGCCCAGCCGAAACCTAGACTAAATCAGATTGTAATGATGAAACATCACTGGGATTGCAGCGTTTAGTTTAGTCCTAGATAAGATTTAAACACTGTCTAGTGTATCGGTCCACTGCCTTAGTGTACAGTATGCACTTGCTAAAATTTACCATATACTGGCCTAGTGAAGTTTCTAAAGACATTGGGTCTGATTCCTAGACCCAGATTAAGCCAGCATCTAGACTAAATAAGTTTTTTTGCATGGTGAACCACCATTGGCATTGCAGTTTAGCCCCAGAATGGCTATAGGGAACTGGTCCAGTGCTTCAGTGTGCAGTATGCACCTGCTAAAATTTACCATATACTGGCCTAGTGAAACAGGGGAAACAGCTCCTGTATTAAACTACAGCATTTTTTCAGGTTAACATTTGTTTCATAGGCCTTGTTTCTCAGTGAGCTACCAAATTCCCAAATACTAGATTCAATGGTTTGGAATGATAGAAAAATGCATGAGGATGAACATGTAATGACGTTTTATTGGATGAATTTGACATTCACACAGTAGGTTCAGATTAAAACATAAGTGTTTATAATACCATCTACTGACATGATGATGTTTTTTTTTTGCTTCAAATAACCTGTAAATGTACTTCTCTAAAAGGTATGCCAGTGTAATTTAGTAAGACATTACAAGCACCTGTTCTTTATTATACTATATCACAACTCCATTCAGGATAATGTTATAGTATCTCTCAACAGAGCTGGTACAAAGATTCGTACATAGACAATGAGATTCCTCTTAGTTATTCAGTCAAAGGCCTGAAAAGTTGTTCACACCGCTAACACCAAAACTAGGTCAGAGAGAATAACCTAGTTAGAGCTGGCAAGATGCATGAAAAAAAGGTCTGACAAACTTTGAACAAGTGAAACAATTAAAAATGAAAGTAGATTTTAAACTAGTTTGCATTTACTTACAAAACAGCACGTTTAATTTTGTTAATGTGACCAGAATAATTAATAAAGATGGTCGTTTTAGAGAGAATATGTGATAAGCACTTTCAAAAACAAAGGTCAAACACAGAAATATAAGACTAATAATGTTTCCACATACAGAATATGTGCAAACATCCTTTTTTATAAAAAAAGAAAAAGAAACTTTAGAGGTTTGCAGAAGCACCGGCTGCACTGGGCTGCGTTTAGCCCAGAATAGCCTCGGAAGCTGCAGCCCAATCAGTGAACTGAACTGAATTCCTAGGTAGACATTGCACACACACACCTTTCTCGCCCGTGTTTTGTTATTGAGCAGAGGTTTCCAGCTTGCTAATCTTCTTCCGCAGTGCAAGAAAGGAAAAACGAATAAACGATAAAGCGCTTTATAATCCAGCAAAACGTGGTGCACTTCCCATTCTACCTCACCCAGCCTTTCCTGTGAGTGGGCTTGTGTCTCTTTTAGAGGGGGAGAGAGGAAGAGAAAGGGAGAGAAAAGGGGGGAGGGGGTAGAGGGGGGGTAGAGGGGTGGGCGACGGGGTGCAGTTGCCCCTCTCGGCTTACATCACGGTTGCTATAGGAACTGGAAATCGGCTCCCAAATCTCGCTCCTGTGCAGTCACACACACACAAACAGGCGCAACCAGAAGTGCACACACACACACACACACACACACACACACACACACACACACAGGAATACACAGATATGGACCACTCTGACTGGAATTCCTGCATTGCCATGTTCCATTCATTGCTTCTCAGAGGATCAGCTGTTTCTCTTATTCTGACCACAATCAGAACAGTTGCATCTCAATTGTGCTAAGGCCTGGTGGCTGAGACTTCCATTTTATCTGTGTTTTTCTTCTTCCACTGCTGTGATCAATGAAAACATGAGTCGTTGCTGCAAGAATGGGGCAGGGGGTGGGCTGGGCTGGGGGATGATGTGGGGGGAGGCTCGCAATAACGATTGAATCCGGGGAAACCAAAGCAACACAGTGTAGCCTGGGGCCCTGCCTGCTCTGAATGGATGAATGCCAGTGTGTTCAGAATGCCCGAGGGAGGAATAGAGCACTTTCTCTCTCTCTCTCTCCCCCCCACTCTCTCGCGGGATTCCCCCCGGTCCAGCTCTCTGCATGCCAGCCAGCAGCCAGCTGCTAGAGCAAGATTCAGTACTCAATTTGTGGTTGTCCCAGACCCACCACTGTCTGTCAAGCTCCGCTACACTCACTCCTACAGCTGTTTCTCACCTCTCCATCTCTGCAGCCATCATACACCACTGCACTGTGGACCAGATGCACTTGTGTCCGTGCGCATGTGACCGGACTTAATGGCCACAGTGCTACTGATGCATGGACATGCGCCACTGTCTGCTTGATGGAGCAGAAGAGGATCTTCTTGTTTGATTGTTTTGTTTGCCTACGCTAAGAAAAACAGATTTGGATTTACAAACCAGAAAAAATGGGACAGTATGTGAATTAAAGATAAAAGCCAAAAGCGGTGATTTGTATATTGAATTTATTTAAATTAAACACAAGATATGGAATATTTTACCTGATCAACTTAAATTTTTTTTCTTTTAATAAATGTATGCTCATTTTAAAAAAGTTGAGATGGGGCCATTTAATACTAGGAACATCTTAAGCAGGTGATCATTCTTAGGTATAAAAGATGCACAGGAAGGGCCTTGTTCTTTATTAGCAAGGATGGGTCAAGGCACCAGTTTAAGAACAATGTTCTCCAAGAAGTGATGTGCAAGGCTATTAGATATTTCATCCTGTACAATACATAATATCATTAAAAGATTCAAGGAATCAAGATAAATCTCTGCATTTAAGGGGCATGGCAAGCGTCTGTGATGGATATCACTGCATAGGTTTGGGAATACTTTGACAAACATTGTCAACTAACACGGTTCATCACTGCATCCACAATAGCAAGTTAAGACTGTACAATGCACAGCAGAAGCCATATGTCAACAACGTCTAGAAAGGCTGCAGAATTATCTGGTCTCAAGCTCACTGCATGGTCTGATGCACAGTGGAGATGTATATTGAGACTAGCTAACCTTTCAGATTGTTTAGAGAAGTAATGGACATTGTGTTCTCTGGACCAAAGAAGAAAATGAGCATCCAGATTGTTACCAGTGTAAAGTTTAAAAGTCAGGATCTGTCATGGTGTGGGCATGTATTAGTGCCCATAGTATGGGTAACGTCTATGAAGGCATAAAACATACACATTTTGGTGAAGCATGCACTATTTTCCAGACTTGTTTTCAGGGATGTCCATGCTAATGTCAGCATGACAACACTAAGCCTCATTCTGCACGTTACAATAGCTTGGCTGTGCAATCATTATTAGATTGGCCTGTCTGCAGTCCAGGCTGGTGTCTCTTGTGTGGTGCATTATAAAGCACAAAATAGAACAATGTATGCCTCCTACAGTTGCACAGCTGAAGACTTGTACAATGGAATAATGGCAAATGGGTTTTAAAACGTGTGTCTTCAGTACCCAAACATATATTAAGTGATGTTAAAAAGGAAAGGTGATGTAACATGGTGGTAAACACAATCAGTCAATCAATCAAGCAATGAAGCAATCAATCAGTACAATGTATTTTCTTCATGTGCAACAGTTTGAATTTTGTCACTCAGTGTTGGAGTCCTCAGTAGCTGTTGTAACTCAACTACAGATACATATATAAATATATAAAATATGCTCCCTTTTTTCGCTTTTTCTAAAGGCTTCTTTCCTGCATGATCTCCTGCAACAAAGCACTGTTCTAAACAAGTGTCTGAATCTGTACTCTCATTGATCCTCTTTGAGCTTTCCGGTGCCTTCAGATGATTCATCAAAGCGAACGAAGCCTTCACTCTTACCCCTTATCAACAAGCACAGCAAATCTCTGTTCAGCACTCCACTTAGTAAGTGATCTGACTGCAAGGAAAAGCATCTGCCATTGTTAACTTTAGATGGCCATGCTTTTATTCAAGTGTCACTCACATTATAAAACTGTAAAGGATCTGGCCAAATGTCATCTGGCCACTGTCATCTTATATTGGAGGAGATAGCATCTATGGGTGGGCGATACTTTACAATACTTTAAGGCATCTTCACAGTACACAATATTTCTTGACATTTTGTTTTTCTGAGATTTTGTATGGACAGACAAACAAAAACCAACAATGGCACATTTAAAAGTACTATGAAAAATTATTAATGTGATGTAATTTATCACAGTAATGGTAATTCACTAATTTGGACCATGCCTTTTACATATGGTTGTAGTATCAGGGGAGAATTCTGAGAACATGAGCTTCTGCTTTAAGCTAAAAGGCAGAAACTGTTGCTGAACAAGGGTAGGACTGAGAGGTAGGCCTGAGAAACAGGGAGGAGATGGGGTGGTGGTCAGGTGTGAAACATTGTCACACGTAATGGGAGGTAGAGATAGAAATTTATAGGATGATAGACTGGAAGGTGGAAGAGGTTCAAGAATGGTTTTCCTCCAAATTGTGGATTGTTATTACCACAAGAGTAGTGATAACTATAGTTAATACTAGAAGAATTTTCTATATGATGTCAGACTTTTATACTAAATTGAACCACTTGCTCTATTTATTATAGATCACTTTAAGACAGAATTGTTATAGAAGTCTCACACAGAACTACAGAGTTATAATATAGTTTCTCACTGTTTCTTTTAGTTCCAACAATAAATAAATGTCAGAAACCACACAAGCAAGCGGGAAAGATTCAGAGATGTTTCAAAATTTCTGCATAATTCAGTGGTTGAGATGTAAACAAAGCCATTCACAGTGGTTTGATGTGAAATGATGCATTGTAGAGAAACATACAGACTTGGGTGTCTTACAGTGGTGGTGATAGGAACCAGGGGTCACCATGTCCACAATGCAAATGTAGTCATTTTATTTACTATCCAGAATGACCTTATTTAAAGTGAACTTATATGTATCTTTTGAGTGTTTTGTGTAACGTTGATAATAGTAATGTAAATAGTAATAATAGTAATAATGATTAAATAGCGGTAAATCCAAAAAAAGTTTATTTTCTTTGGGGACTGTTTTGTCTCACAGTGTCCTACATTTAGCTCTCCACTTTACATGTATTTAAAAATATACATTTTATCTCAAAGCTACTGTAAAACAATGTCTCAGGCATTAGACAGTATCTTTGTAACATTAGTACAGTATCTTTGTAGAAATGCTATGATGCTAATTTGTTAATGGTTTGTATAAACGTCCATTGCTTGTTATCAACATTAGCCTCTTAGCTGCAATGCAAAACTAAAGAAGCCAATTTCAGACATCAAACATTTCTTAACCTATTGACTATTTAGGATGGGGGAGAACTGTAAATGTGATTTTTTTGCAGAACTATACTTTAAAGTATATGCATCTGTACTGTGTATAGTGCATTAACAAAGGGTAAACTAAGTGTATACACAGTGATGTGGTGGGTAATGAATGAAGCTCTCTTTACTGCTGTACACTGCTGGATTCTGTGCTCTCTCACTCTCTCAATGGGTGGTCTGTGAAACGGGGGGAAACCCTGCTGCTGCCAGAACACAGCCGCACTTGTTGAAGCACATGGCATGGTAGCAAGCAGGACGTCTGCACCTGGGTGCACTTGCAGGCTTTCCAGAAATCCGATGGCCTTGACTTCTAGACCTCAGATGCCCGTACACTTATGTCGTTTGTTTATTTAAAAGATGCTTCATGTAGGCGTGTCAATTTGACGTTGTTTTTATGAACAAGGTCAAAGCACGCAGTGGAGGCCTAGGCTCAAACTAGCTTTGGGATTGTGAATGGGGTGACATCAGCATGGCAGCATGTTATTTTTACACCATTCTACTCTTCGCTATGGAATGCTTAGGAGAAATACTTGGAACGTAATTCCTGTTTTCCTGTTAGGATTACTCATTTTATCAGAAGTAAAAAGTAAGATCACACCTTTAAATATGAAAACGCTTTCCTTTTCTTTTTTGATATAAGATAAACATAAAAATGTCCTAATCATTTTTGGAAGAAGCTAAAATAAAAAAAATAGATTAAATAAAAAAAAAAAATAGATATATTAAATATTACATGTGCCCTGCAATGGACTGGCGACCTGTCCAAGGTGTTCCCTGCCTTCCGCCCAGTGAACGCAGGAATAGGCTCCAGCACCCTCCGCGACCCAGAAGGATAAGCAGCTTAGAAGATGGATGGATGGTTGAATATTACATGTGTAATAGTTTAAACTTAACGGAGAATATCATTAAATGTGCTCTACACTATTTGTAGTTATCTGATTCATGGTGTCCATATACATGAATAATTCCACAACATTTTAATAAAACTACTGCAGTGGCCCCACAAATGGTGTTATTTGTACCATAATTAAAAATGTATTAAGTTTCTTATGTTAGAAAAACAAAATATCAAACCAAGCGGTATTTATATTTAACAGACCATTCTAAGACTGTAAATCCATTTTTTGGCAAAATATTCTTTCAAAATGTGGCTAGTTCATTTCAGATCAGTATCGTTTGAGCAGTTCTCTGCAGACTTTTGCAGGTTTCCATCCAAAATGCCTTTATACACTTCTGAGTTCATGATCCCATCTATGAACATAAGCTCACCTCCACCTTATGAGAAAAACGGCCCCAAACTTTGATGTTTCTACACCTGTGCTTTACAGTAGGCTACTCCTAATGCAGTATGGTTCGTGTTATTCTTCAGCTTTCTTCACACAGAGAGTCTACCTTCAGTATGGCATTGTGCTAAAAGTGTTTTTCCCTGAAATAAATATCAATAAATCAAACATTATGGAGTTTTCCAAAGAATGTAACTAAAAATGACCAATGGTTAAAATGTTCAAATGCTTGGGGCCACTACGTCAGATAAAGTGAACAGCTTTTATGCTATGTTGAGCAGGAAAATCACCTATAAAATCTGAATATACTTAGAATTTGTGCATGAAAGGGTTATAAAAGAAAACAAGCTTGAATGGAGACAGCATTTTTTTTGTTGCATAGAGCTTCTTGTGATCTATGATCATGTTCTATCCTCACAAGGGCTCAGTTTCATTCATAGTTCTTTGTAAATAAGTGATACAAAGCTAAGTAAGAACTTGTATTGAATATGCATTCTTGATAGACACTGTTAATGAGTGTACACCTCTCCTCTGTTGTGTGGAAGTGGTGCTGTGCAGCAGGAGGAGTCTGAATCTAACATGTGCTAGCATTAGGTGCTAGCCTGAACTGCACTG